ATTACAAAGAAAGTAGTAGTGTACTATGGTACAGGCCTGAAATCCTTTTAAGATTTGTGATTCCCTCAAAGAAAGCTTTCCCTTTTCCTCAAGACTGTGCCAAATCTAGAGCCAGCATTCACATTCAGACAGCCAACATGATGGACAGATGCAAATAGAAGAGCTACTACGAGTTCTGGAATGAGTTTCAGATAATCTATGAGATGGGTGACAAGACAGAATAAACTGATAAAAAAAAAAATCCACTATTAATGGGCATACGATAAGCTTTGCCTACCTAGTTTTGAAGGGCATCATAAGAATTTGGTGAAAAAAAATATACATGGTATTCCCTGTGCAGACAGCTCACAATGAATCTGCATTCTCTGGAGTAGAAGCTTCAACACCTTGTGGTGGTCCTAGTGAAAACTAAGTCTGTTTTTAAAAGCTCCCACTATTTACATGTTTATACAAACACAGTTAAGTGGACAGCTTTTATCAATCAGAAAAAGTCACTAATCTGTTACTAATCTGGGAGAAAAATAAGCATCCAGTAACCACTGGACCTGAAGACGTAAGGTGACTGAAGAAAATTAAGTAAGAACATGTCAAACACCTGTAGTTCCGGTCTCCCTGTAAGCAGAAAAAGGAACTAACAAGTGGATAGAGCTATTGTGCTCTTTACTCCTGGTCAGAGGGTGAGGCAGTGCAGGATGCAGGTAAAGCCAACAAAAACAGCTTTCAAATAACCTTTCACGTGGGTTAGCTTATACCTGCACAAACTTGAAGAACTTTTCCAGAGGGCTAAAAATCTGAATCACTCTTGACATAAGACAAAGCAAAATCAGCATTTTAACTATGCATAAGTTAGTTACCTTTGGTGAACGGCCTCTTCTTTTTTCCTGTGAGTCTCCCTGAAGCTTTTCAGTTAACGGAATAGCAAAAGAGAATGTTTTCCCTGTTCCAGTTCGTGCTTGAGCAATGACATCTTTACCAGTATACACTGGGTCAAAGGTCTTCACTTGCACCGGGAACAGGTATGTCACTCCTCGAGCTGTGACAATTTCAACAGAATTCCTTAATTACGATCATTTCACAAGCGTTCTTGCATACTCTTCAGAGGAAACTACCCCAAGCAGAACTTGCATCAACTCTAAAGTAAATCAGGACTGTATCATCACGTCCGCTGATTTATTTAATCACAGAGGTCATCTGTAAAAAGAGTGCCCTGGAACTGTCCACTTTATTCTCCCACTTCATACCACCATAGTGCTAGCTGGGACAGCTGAAGTTACTAGCCTTTAATGAAAGCCTTCAAGTACTGTGGCTTTACTTATGGAATACTCCCCAGCTATCTATGAAAAGCTCTTTCTTTCATATAAAACATATATCAAAACCACTTCTTCTCTTAATTCATACTAAGCCATGTATAAACTAATGTCAAAGATACTAAATATAACTGGTCTTCCTTTACATACACCAAAATAACTTTTAATTGAAAAATTCTCTCACAGAATTATGTCTTTTTATATTTTTGAGCCTATGTCATTTAATATTCTACCATAAAGGCTGACTGAAGTCTGATTAAAGGCAATACTGCAAACAGAAAAGTCTATGTTCAAAGCTGTATTTAGAGTATGCAATCAGTGCACCTTCCGTATAGCATCCATGCTTGCATACACACAAGCAGAGTGCATCTCCAAGCTCACTGATTGAATATGTTGAGTACAAAAACACATGACAGAGATAATTTACTTTCTGTGGTCACATCAGGCCAAGAAATTTACCTTGAAGAAGCTGAACAGTCCCTTTGGAAATAGAAAAATTGGAGAAAGCACCCTCTTTCTGTTCTTCGGTCATTTCCTGTTAGGTAAACAATAAATCAGGTAACATTCCATATGAACACCACACAACGATCAGAAAATTCAAGGTAATGGCATAGGCACTGGTGTCAGACTCAAGGGTCAAATTTTCAGTGACAGTATCACAACTGTAGCTAAAGACCCTTGTTTTACTTAGTTTCTTATTTCCAAGTTAGACAAAAGTGATCCGTAATTCAAGACTGTTTCATATCTAATGGCATAATCCTATAAATGCAAAACACACAAATTAAAACTCTGAAAGTTCTTAAATAAATTTTAATATTCTATTTTAAATAATTACTAATAGTCTAACAGATATGTTGTAATATGCAGGAATCAGGCTTGATATCTAGCCTATTTCCTACTTCCCAATTAATACAGCACAGTGATTTACAGATATAGAAATGGATCCTCAAAAGAATAACGTCACAGTGTAGAACATCAAACACAATTCATAACGCGTTTCCATATATGTTTTAACAGCACAGCGACTAAAATGCTGAGTGAGGAAAGAATGCTAACCATGGAAACCAGTGAAACCCTGGATGCTTTGTAAAGAATCAATTGGAAGAAGCAAAACTAAACAACAGCAGAACATACAGGTATAAAGACTTTTCAAAACAAATCAAAACAGGTTTCCCTTCAAAAAAACCGTAGTTTATACCAAGCCATTTTAAAGGAACCTAAATAAAGTAGGAATAGTCAAAGTAAAAACATCCTTACAGAAAGGCCTAAAAAGACTTACAAAACTGCAACATCATGAGATTTTATTACATCAAGGACTATTTTGTCACATTAACAATTACTATTTAATAAGATGATACATAAAAACATATTAATGCATCAACTTTTTTCCACTAAAAACAAAGTACTTCTTCATTTCACTAGAGAAGTATTCCTAATACCAAAAAGAAGTCAATGAAACTATATTTGTGGCAATTATAGTCACATCTAATGATGCTGAATCATATTAAAACACTATCTCACTGCAGTTTGTCCATCTGCCAACAGCTACTACAGTACTGGACTGATGAACTGAGAAAAACCATGATCTAGAACTTCAGGACTTTCATAATTCACATTTTTCGCAAATAATTGACAGAAGGGACAGTCCAAGTAGCTTTAAACCCTGAAAATTTATAGCATTCTACTGACGGGGAGAAAAAAAAAGATAATCTGTTCTAAATTTGACCTCGCTGCAAGGCAGGAGTTGAAAGCTAAGTACATCACTATAACCAAATCAGTCATTAGTTTTACCTGCTCTTGTTCACTGTCACCATCACCACTCGACGTTTCGCTCGAATTACTATGACGTTTTTTGCTAGTGGATTTCGCATTTAAGGAAGATAATTTCTTGTTCTCCGGGCTTTCTTCTCTAGCATCACCATTTTGTTTAACTTCAGCCCTCGGTTTCTTGACTTTCGGAGAATGAACTTCATTCTCCGACTGCTCACTTTCATCCGTCTGAGGCCTTTTCCTCTGAGATTTCTCACGGCGTTTAGATTTCTTCTCTTTTTTCTCCTTCTGGTAAGGCATACAGCACCACAGCGGTAAATGAGAAAACACGCACACGATCCAACGGCAAGCAACGGAAAAGACATACAGAACCGCTAAAACTGTTATGCTCTAGTTATTGCCGGGGGAGGCTCATATAAAGCAGCAGACCCCTCTCTGCCCCGGCGCAGGTGCCGCCAAGGGGCATTTTCCTGACCACGAGACACCCAGGCCTTCATTTTCGGGACTTCTCCACCTCCGCGGCTGCACCCTAAAGCGCTCCCCGGGCCGCTGCTCGCCGAGGACGGCCACACGCCCTCCCAGCAGACCCACCACCGCCCCCGGCGGGG